TGGTAGAGTATACATTCTTTTCTTTTATAGGTCTCCTAAGATTCAACGACGTCGAGAAATGATGGCTAAGGAAACCGTAGAGTCGAGACGTGTTCCTAAGGTCGTCAAGGTTCGGGAGCCTTCTGGCGCCCTGAGATCTTCGACACCTCCACAGGAGGCTGCCAGGGTTATGCAGATAGGCCAGGTACAGAAGTCTGCTGCCCCGCTTTCGAATATATGGCAGGCCGTCTTTTAAGACGTTGAAGTTGCCTTGGGTATCTCGCAGCTAGCTTGGACGTCGGTTGGTGAGACCAAGGATGGTAAGGCGGAAGGTCTACGGTTGCTGCCACCTCTACCTTCGCCTCCGACGCCGTTTGCGATTGATCGGCGTGGAGCATGCTTGTTAAGCGGAAATAGAAGAGTGGGGTCGATTATTCGTTCAATCGCGCCGATGCGTACCCTTGGAGGAAGCATGCATAGGAGCGCAACCTTTCGACTTAACACGGTTTGTATTCGCGAAGCAGAGGAGAAGTCGAGAATAAATGCAGCAAAAAAGAACAATTGTACTTCCGATGATGAAAAAGAGTGGTCCAGGAGAGATATCGCCGGGTTTTTATTTCATTTTCACAAAAGATGACAAGCTAGTTGAAAATATGGAGTGTAATGTAGCCTAGAGTTTCACCTGTAATAACTCGACAGAATAATTGATCTGACTCAGTTAAATTTTAGAGAAAAATTAGAGTTAGCTGTAAAAAGAAGTCAAAGTGGTTCTCTCGTATTGTGCTATAAAAAGGCGCACGTCAGAAATTCTTTGTCAAGAATTGAAAAAAAAAATGAAAAGTATATAGACAGTACTCGGTTTTGCATGTACTTAGTCTATACCAAATTTGTTTCAACAAGCGACAGCAAGAAAAAAGGATATAGAAAATATGTTAATTATTTTCTCTGTAGTATTTAATGGAGAAAAACGAGAAAACCTATATGAAAAGTAATTTTTGATTAATTCATTGGTTGGATTTGAACTGATGCAATAAATATATTTGAGAAAACGCATAGCCTCGATGCTGGTTTCTACTTCTAAATTTTTTGAGTGCACTTGATGTAGGCGGACCTTATTTGAGACAAACAGAATTTCCCCTCAGAAAATTATACAGATACGTCAATTTTTCCGTAGTGGAAGCAATTTATAATTTTCTATTGCCATCACATGATTACAAAATGTTTATAATTATTCTTATATTGTCATAAAATTATTAAAGAGCACATAGAGAAATATTTTCTTGCGCATTACTTAAGATTAATAAATAAAAATATAAATCAATAGTTTTGTTATTCTTGACACTCTCCATTTTGTTAAGCAAAATTTTTTTAAACCAATTTTAGAGCCAACCCGTTTAAAAAAATTTTGCTTATATAAATCAATATAAAATAAGCTAAATTATTAATCGTGACATAAAAATCTATTTTGATAAAGTAATTTAAAATTCCAAATACTCACAATATTGTTAAGTACCAAAATACGACTGAGCATATATTTCAAGATGTTCCGAAAATCGAATTTGAAATATCGTGAGGGTTCAAAAATATGAAATTCATGTATGATATTATAAAATGAGAGTACATTGACGTATATATATAAATATATATATACCATTGTGCGACATTTTCTTTTTTTTTAGTTTGGCTTGAAAGGCTTTCATAAGTATAACAAAATAAGTATATATATATTTTGCCAGGCCTATATATATATATATTTTGGCAGGAGGATTTTCTGTCCAATTTTGGCAACGTGTGTTTTCCGAGATGAGCAGGGCGGAGCGAAAATTGAGGTTCGGGTTGCTTTTAAGAGATGTTTACGGTATCTGCGCCTGGGTATCCGAATCGTCTGTGGGCCTCGTGTAGCGCGGCTTCATCGCACATGCATCGCAGCTGACCTCGCGATAAGCTGGTATATATTTCCGGCTACCTGTACCGCGTCCGAGACAGGATAAGCTGTGATGCATGTGCGATGCATCTGCACGTCATTATCGACATGTGTTGGACAACCGAAAGCGATGCGGTATCTGCGGGGTCCGACCGTGCGACGCGCTCTTGGCCTCTCTATTTGCGCTACGGGCCCTGAATGTGGGGGGAAGCCGGAATGCTTGGCGCATATAAGACGAGCATCGCTTTCCCCAGTTTTCAGTTTGTTCAAGTTCGTACGCCTCCCTTGACGGATCCGAACTTTGTCATTATTTTGTGCGCTGCGGTGACAGTTTTTTTTGTGAACGAGAGAAGTGATCGTCGAGACCCCGGCCAGAGCACCGTCCGACATCGCGATCAGCGACTCGTGGCTACTGAGCCACGGACAGAGAGACCTGCTGCCGTAGGTGAGGGCGCGACCAGCCCTCAGAAGTGCCTCCAACTACGCGGTTCTGTGCCCATCAGATTACTCAGGTGACGCTGTAGCGAGGGCTGTCCCCGTTCCCGAGACGTCGGGGCTACACCGTTCCTTTAATTTCGGAGGCACTTTCTCTATCTTTCTCCCACTCTCACGAGTCCTAAATCAAGCGGTAAGTGGACCGGATGATCCACCGGATTACGCGCGCACATACGACTAAAATTGTAAGGGCGAGAGCCTAAAGGCGAGCGATGCCTCTGTGGCGAACATATTTGATACTTGCGTTCTTCCTGTTGTAATTTGTTATTAATAAAGTTGCTGCATCTAAAAGGCTTTTCCCCACTTATGACTGGGGTTTTTATGCCGGCTAAATGCGGTCTCTTCCCTAATCCGGGGGATATAAAATGCGACTCTTCTCTGTATATTAAACCACTAAACAGCATCCACTTTCTTGGACCTACCTAGTACTCACTCACTTTCTCTCTCTCCTGCATATACTATTGAGTTTTGTTCAAGAGATGAACCCACTCATACCGTTTTAGTCAAAATTTTAGTTTCTATTATTATTTGTAATAATTGCGCGCAATTATTATTTATAATAATAATTAAACAATGTTACGTTTAATTATCCCACTTAAAACTAAACATCGGAATTTATGATGGTATGTATTATAAAAAAATCAAATATGTTTTAAAGTTCATGCGTTTATTCAATATTTAACAGCTTATTATGAATTAATTAATTTGAAATTATGAAAACCTCATAGTTTTCGCGAATTTTCGTCTAAAGGAAGAAGAATTCTTAATTAACGTGAACTTTCTACCATATTCTTCGGTGAAACTGATTAACATTAATATCGCAGTATTTACTGTTATTGATTTAGAAACTTAATTTTTACAATAGAAATTTTAAAGAAAGAAATATGAGGATAACGGTGACTGTATTAAATTATAAAATATAAACTTCATACGAACATATAAATCAATATTAAACAATTAGCACAAAAGTTAGGGAGAATTGATCATTCTTCTCACTAACTTTATACCTTTGAACTTGAAGATAACTTAAATTACTTGAAAGTTGAATAATTATATAAATATTGCATGCTTAAAATATAAATGAAATAAAACTAAAAAATTACGATCGTATTTTTCTATTTTACTGGTTTAATTATACTTAGAATAAACAAGTCGAAAAGAGGTAATCAAACAACATAGTCCCGGCCTATAAAATGACAAAAATATTCGGGGTAATGTAATATTCATTCTTATCTTTTATTTCATGTCGACTTATTTTAAATATAAAATAGGAAAAATTTAATTTAATTATAATTCGCGACTGGCCACCCCTCGGCCTGCCTGAATTGAAATGAAGTTGGTAATATACAAAGATAAATATAACATGAACTCATCATTCACTTGTAACAAAACTTGCTTTGTTATCAATTCTTAAAGGTGGGCAAGTGAGGCGCACTCGCTCATAGCAATTGGGGAGGGGGAGGAGAGAAAGGTAAAGAAATATAATTAACGAAAATCACGCTTCTAATAAATTAAATAATTGTACTGACTTATTATCAATCACAAATTTACACAACCTTACTCACTAACGAACATAATTAATCGAACACCCCTTAACTCTATTGAACACAACGGTGTTCTTAATACGTACTACGCAAATAAAGAACCAAAAACAAATTAAGTAACTTACCGAGCTTCCAAAAATCTAACCGACACACAGAACGTGTCGCCCGGCAGGTGAGCGCCTTGACGACAAACCGAGTTAGCCTACTTATACTAAGAGAAAACCGTCTGGCGAGGTCTCGCCTTGACGGTACGCAACCTTAACAAATAATGCCGACGGTAGTTAAAGCAGGTAGCCGGCGCGTTAACGCCTTACCACACTGCTGACCCTCACACCTACTCGCTGTGCCATAAAGAGCGAGAGAGAGAAAGAAAAAATAAAGAGAACGGGCCTTGACCTTATCTGTGCGGAAACAGGGAAGCCTGGCTGCGCCCTGCGGATGGTGTTGCTGGCCGTCGCCGAGTAACTCCTCGCCAGCTTCTTTCGGGTAACGTCCCTGGCAAGATACTGGTATCAAGACACTTGTCCTTTATGCCTCTCTGATTCTCGTCTCAGCTTCTTGGCGGCGTGTGCGTTTGTCTGACATCTGCACTCTGCTTACTGCAGTAACTGCACCGCTAACCAACTTCGAACCGTCTAACCGCTCGCTCGCTTCCGCAATCGACAGCTTCTTCGCTCGATCTTTCTCTCCCCACTTGACCTACTTATTAGGCGGCGCGCGACCAATGAGCTAATTGGTTAGGCGTTGCGCGCCTGCCTAATCCTGCTTTGGGCACGCACGCCCCTCTCTCTCTTTTTTTCTCTCTTTATTTAACACATCTTTTTGTCATCCACCTAATGACTTCGGGCCGGCTCGGCCTCGCTCGGCAGTCTTCGTCGGCTGAAAAAAACACCATACATTAGTCACATTCTTAAATGCGCCCAACGTTGGACACCATGTCTTGCTGAGAGAGGGGCAAATAGGGAAAAATACCGACTAGAACAAGCGCAACGCTTGCTCTCGTCACAAACTTTTTCATGCGCTGAATATTCTCTCATTAACGAGAATTTGTTTTTTAGGATTTTCGTCAACCGAAGTCTACATCTAGAAAATATAAAATTTTATGGTTTTGACATGGATTATACTATAGCAGAATACAAATCTCCTGAATATGAACAACTTGGCTTCAATTTATTAAAAGATCGGCTAGTATCTTTGGGATATCCAAAAGAAATTCAAAATTTTGAATATGACCCTAGCTTTCCCATTAGAGGATTATGGTTTGACACTCTCTATGGGAATTTGCTGAAAGTAGATGCATATGGTAATATACTGGTCTGTGTACATGGATTCGAGTTTTTAAAACAGTGAGTAAAATATTTTGTTTTTGTTTATTCTAGTTGAATATATTTGACTAATGAATAAAAATAATGTTAGGTTTATTTAAAAGGATATGACATGTTTCCCTTGCTATTGCTGAATCTATAATCTGAATCTAAAAAACTCAATTTCTCATTTATGATTATCAGAAGAAAGTACATTTTTAAATAGCCAACTCATTGATAAAAAAATTATAACTGAATGGTCGACATCGCTATGATTTATTGCGTTCTTCTGAGTATCCATTAATATCATTAATATCATTACATAAACATTGAGTACGTAGATAATGTATACTGTTGCTCACTTTCTCCAAGTGACTACGTGATATCTGGCTCACCGTGAGGAAGCGTGGTCGCCCACTTAGAATTGTGTAAGTTGTGACAGTGAAACCGCTTAGTTGCAATTTCCCTATTGCCTCTGGCCCCTCGATATCTACGCGCTCTATCGATAAAAGCCGGGTATCGATGTCATTGCGTTAGCCCATTACTGATGCTCGGTTTCTTGGTTTGAGCTGTGGAATAGCGGCTTAGGAGCTGAGGACAGATGAGCTCCATAACTAAGGGCAAGGAGGCGCACGGAGAGGAGAGAGAATAAAAGGGAGCGAAAAAAGAGGAAAAAGGAAAAGTTTTGCTGCAGAGATTCGGCTCAGTTGATCACCGGTGGTAGCAGCAGAAGAAACGACATAGCTTCAGCGTTGCAGATTACTGCAATGCTCTGCCATTTGATTTGGTGTCAGCGATTGGTTTGGCAAGCCGGATTTTTCACGGCCTGTGCAGCATATCCGTCCGCGTCTTGCTTCATCACCACCCACTTCTGAGTCCACAGAGGAGAAGATGTGGCAGTTGACGTCGATTAACCCAGTGTAAACTCTCTCTCTCCTTTCTCTCTTTTCCCGCTTTTCGTTTATCATCGGTGTACGTATGCCAACCGCGATGTCGCGGACCCCGGTAAATCTTGTGCTACACGGTGATTAGGAATGCAACCACTGAGCGATCTTTGATTGTCCGAATCTGCCAAAGAGACTCATCATTACATGTCGTACAGCAATGCCTATTTACAGTGGTTGAGCACTTCTTTTTTCTTTTAATATGATTATTCTGTGCTTGTTTCTTCTTCTTTATTTAGTTTTGTAATTTTTTTTTATATTTTTTTAGTTTTTAATTTAATAAATTCTTGATATTGGAACTTCTAATTGAGTTTGATTTACATGTTTTGCCCATTCCAGGCTTGATTACGCGCGAACGTCACAACCTGCACTCCCAGCAGGTTACTTATTATCCGAAGCATTTTGTCTTCCGAATCCCCGCATAAATAATTTAGTGACTAGAGTTGCTGGAGAATATTTATAGTAAAAATGACTCCCTTCATGACTCATTTTTTCTGATTGTTAGAACTATTTCATTTATTTATTATTTTTATTGTTAATTAATTAATTTATAATATGGATTTGACTTAATTAAATATTTGGCGCTCTACCATTAAAGGTAATGTCATTCATACCTTGTATAGTTATCACTTCGTATATTAGCTTCACATCTTAGGGGTCAGCAGGTGTAGCGTGAGCATATCTATAGCGCATAGCCTACGTAGGATCCTATAGAGCTAACGTGTAGCTTGAAAAGGAAAGGGGGTAGCTACTCTTTCCTTCAAGCTTGAAAGCACACAATGTTTGGGAGCGCGTGTTCTTACTCTCTCTCCCTCTCTCTCTTCTTCTCTCTGTCACTCTCTCTCTCTCTCTCTCTCTCTGTCTCTCTCTCTCTCTCTCTCTCTCTCTCTCTGTGTCTCTCTCTCTCTCTCTCTCTCTCTGTTAGGGGTGAGCAATTGCGGAAGGGATTGTCAAGACAAGTACACTGAATTTTAATATTTTCTTTTAATAAAATCTGTTTACAAATTAGAAGTTAAAACTAAATAGCCGGCATAAAAGACCTCACCGTGTGAGGAAAAAGCCGCTATTTTATAAAAAACGATCTAATCTAAGATCAAGGTACCGCGCACAAGTGTAAAGTTGGTTGTCAATTTAAAAGTTAGATAGAACATTAACATACACTTAGATTTATGCACATGTTAAGTTATTTATATTTTCAAATCATTAAATGCATATGGTACTGTTCTTTTGGTTAATTTCGTCATTAATTAAATAATAGTCAACTGTAAATTAACAAATTAAATTAATATTTTCACAAGAAAAAAGGATAATCGTACGTGGTAAACGCAGAATAAGTGAATTTTACAAATATGGTGTTGGTAATCTAGTAAGTTTATGGGAACAAGTGAGTTTATAGAGGCAGTGTGCTTAAGATTCAAGAGGTTTTGAATTGGGTGTCTTTGTGAGTTTGTGGATTTAGAATAATAGGGTGAAAAGGTTAAATACTTCAAGGGTTTATTGTTTATGGATTAGTAGATTGTGAATTTGGTGTTTGAAAGTAAGAAAATTTTTTGGTTGGCGAGTTTATGAATCGGAGGCTCAAAGAGTTAGAGAGTAAGTGGGTTGGTGGATTCGTGAATTTGTTAAATGATGGATTTGAGAGCTTACGAGAATATGAATTCTCTGGTTTGGGTATACTGTGAAAAAAAACAAGGTTTTTATTATTAATATTATAAGTTTGATATTTTTACAATATTTATTACGCTTAAACTAACGTATATTAATCGTTACTATAGCGTGTTTGTTTCGTCGATCATGAACAACGCCTTTTTAACACTAGTATGAAAGCAATTATTTAACAAATACCAGTTTGGTTTAACGCGTTTCAGTGCTCCTTACAAATTGTTTTGTTAATAAGTTTTGAACGTTATTTTATTTTTTAAGAGCTTGAAAATATTGTTAAAGTTACGAAGGCTTTTAGTAGGTGTTAGGAGTGAAGAATAGAAAATGTAGCAGTCACCTTCGTCAATAGATATTCTATAGAGTATTTTAAAATATGTTTAATTGAAATCTGTCAAAAATTAAGCAGTAGCTAAAGAAATTCCCGTTATTTTTCACAGCAACTCTCCAACTCAAAGCAGGCAAAGCTATCGATATCTGGATAAAGCGAGTATAATCAACTGTTTCTTTTAGAAACAAAGGCTAACCCACCTTAACTTTGATAAACAGCATACCCAGATACTCTTATATCCCTGATAAGTCACTATCAAGAAGGCTCACTCACCGCACCCTGTAAATTAAACTCGCTCTACCCAGTGGTAGGTAGGTTAGCCTGCTAGAAGGTGGGTAGGGGTGGTTTATTGGGGTCGTAGGGGTATGTAGGAGTAAGAAATCGTACATATCGCAGTTTTATGTGATAGCAGACATCCTCCCGAGTATTTTGAAATTTCTTTTTACCGAAATCGGTTGAAAATTGAGCCGCGGCTCGACTTTTGTCCATTTTCCTACACTGCACAACGTTTTTAAAATTCGTTCGCGAGATGTTGCGCTATTTCAAAGTTTTTCCGAGGATTGAGGCATATTTTTCGAATCGTAAGTACCAGATGAGCTACCGATCAGAAAATGGTTAGGCGTGGCTTCTTCGTCTTGAGGATCTACAGACACGTGAGTTAGCGATCGCGAGCTTACCATATGTTCGATCTCTACGAATAAGGTATAAAGGACTTCCTCTGTCGGAGCTTGATCGTTCAGCGCATGATCACTGAGCAAATCAATCTCTTCGAAGCTCCTCCCATATGAGATGCGTCAGGAGGATTGAAGTGCCAGTTGAAACGGTTGGTCGCGGCGAACTCTTTGTTTTTTAGTGTCCAAATTGGAGATTGCGTCCTTCAACTCCTTGCTAGCTTTGACATAGTTGGTCCCGTTGTCGCTATACATGAATGTAACAAAGCTTAAGTCAACTCGCACAAACTCACTCACTCACTCACTGCTCGCACTCGAACGCTACTCGCTTAATTTTGAACACACATGTTAACACGCTAAAACTAATAGTCGAACGCCCCACTCCAGAAAAGTCACAAGCGATTCCAAGGAGATTATATATAACTAGACATTGCGTTGTACCTCGAAAGCGAAATGGTTAACCATTCTAGGTATAGAAATGCGAGGAAACGTAAGCAGGAGGCCACCGTTGAGAAATCAGAGCATTACTTTAACACTCCGGCGTCAACTCAGATTCCTTCGCAACCAACCAATTCAGACGAAACCAAACACGATTGCCCATCAGTTAAGAGGTTTAATTCGAACGCACAACACAATCCCAAACTGGGCCAGAAACTGAGGATCATACAATTGAATCTCAACAAAAGGCAAATAGCCGACGATGAGCTCGAAGAGATCATGACAGACAGAAATCTTGACATACAGGTAGCACTAGTGCAAGAACCATACCACTGGAATAATGCGATTTCAGGTATGGGCAGTATCATGGCCATTCATGGGGCCGAAAAAGGCGAAGTGATTCGAGCTGCGATACTCTACAACCCGCACAAGGTTACAGCTACCAAGATTTCTAATCTATGTGACTCCTACTGTGTTTGTACACAGGTAGTCGGAGCCTTTGGTGAAATTTATTTCATAAGCGTCTATTGCCAGTTCAGCCATAGCAGGAAAACCTATCTTGACAAACTAGCTGAGACTCTGAAACAATTGAAAGGCAAAAGAGTCTTAGGTGGAATGGATGCAAACGCCAAGTCGAAGATCTGGTCTAATACACAGGATAAGAATGGAATAGTCATTGAAGAATTCATAGACATACATAGTGGTCGTGGTGCCGCAGTACGAGGGATATCGATGTAACTTTGCATATATCAAATCTGTCTAACCTCTTGGCTAGCTGGACGGTGAAAGAATGGACCACCAGTGACCACAGGCCCATAGTGAACGAACTGGATTTTGCCTCACAACCAGCCAGACTCATACTAACTGTAGAAACAATAGAACCAAGGTTCAATATGAGAAAAGCTGATTGGGAGAAATTTAGGAGACTTTGGAAATTCGAGAAAGAGAACCTATTTGAGCACCATTTAGAAACCTCTGAAGACATCGAAACATTTTTCA